ATGTTTATTTATACAATGTTTTTCCATTAACATCAAAAGAACTTCAACCACTATATGCTTTTTTTTCTATTCATGCATTTTGCCTTTCTCAAATCAAGTTAAACGTTGACTAGAACTGTCGAATAGAAAGTATTTCATAATAAGAAAAAAAAAGAGAACATGACATAAATTAAGCTTTTCCCCTTCTTTTTCTTTTTACATTTCTTTTCTAGTCATTCATTTAACATCCTCTATTAGTTGGCTAAACAACCCGTTCAACATAAGCTAAAAAATCAATTTTCTTCAGTGTACTTCTCTAACTTGAATATAAAATATATTACTAGTTGAATTACAAAGATTTATGCATGGATTACAATCGACTAAAAAGTAAGTTAATAATAATAATCAATAAATCAATCGATTTTAAAAATACTTATCAATTTTTTATTATAATATTTATGAACCATTAGGAAAATAAATCTTAACTAATTGACTGTTTGTTTTCTTATCGAACGTTAATATAAGTAAAACAAGAACGTGTTTATTATGTGTTCAATAGAATTAATATAGATAATTATGTGATAGCATATTATCATAATTCCTAAAACTTTTTCTATAGATAGATAATAAGAAACAGAAAATTTATCTTAGAAAATATTAGTAAGACAGATGTTTTCATTGTTACAATTTAATATAATCTATAATCGTTACAATTTACACAATTTAATATATTATGTACTCTTTAATACTTGTAACATATGAGCGAATCGCAAACGTTTTTTGTTTTAGATTTTTCCGTGACAAACATTTATTTAGGTAGGGCGCTAAGCTTTTAAATAATTAAAATCAGCAAGTCAAGTCAGAGCTGACTTGTGACTTGATTTTTCTTTTTATTTCAAGTCAAGTGAAAAACAAGTGTATATACATGTCAGTGTCTTGTGCATTTCAATTTTGGTTTCTAATTTAAGATTAAAATTAGAAAAGTAACAAGTAAAAATATCAGGTAGTGTCATAAAATGGATTGATGTTGAAATAAAATAATGGATTTTTGCAATACATAGACAAACTCTTTTTTTTTCAATTTATGTAAGGCATCTTATTTTCCAACATAATCTGTTCTTCGAAAATAGACGTTCAATGGTCTATATCACAATAATTAAATTAATAACATACAATATTTTTGCAAACTATAACAAGTAAGAAAATTAGTCATTATTTTAACTCGCACGAAAAACTTCCAGACTTTCTCATCTCTATTAAATAACATCATATGTTTCCGACAGAAACTAATGAGGTCTATATTCAAGTCTTTTTCTGTTATTTGTAATTAGAACGAGTCAACATTTAGATGTACGATGAGATCATAGGTTATTTCTTTTTTATTATTTATTGATAAGGATTGAATCGCGTGCAAGATAAGCATCTGTGCAGTTATGTTTTTTTTTTGAGATTCGAGATTTATTTTGACTGTATTTCTCTATTGATTGTCTGAATTAATAGAAGCGCATAAGCATAAAACGTTAGTCTGTGTTTCTTTTTGTGACATAACAACAATAACTTTCGTCGTGTACTTATAAATGTGCATGAACACATTGCATTAACGTGTGAAAATGAATTGAAATTATCATTAGGAGAACACCCATTACTTTATTAAATGCACATAACACAAATAGATGTAACATTAGTGAATTGTTGATGATTAGCACATTATAGATAAAGACCAAATATACATATATCTTAGTTTTAAAATATTAAAAAATAAATCAATGTCTTATATGGTTTTTTTTTTGTCATTTTAATTATAGAACGCCACATCTATTCAATCTTTATTAATATCATTAAGTATATCTCATGGTTCCTTTGAATTGGTCAACAACATTGACAATGTATGACGAAAAAAATAGTTCAACTCAATATACAACTCAATGTAGATTTAATGTAGCATTATTTCTTCGATATGTTGGCACACCTATTGTTATATTTGGTTGTATTGGAAATTTTTTATCGATTTTGGTATTTAGTCGAAAAGCACTTCGTTCTCGTTCATGTTCAATATATTTTTTGGCATTAAGTATGAGTGATATTAGTGTATTAATTGGTTATACATTAGAAAATCTTCTTTATCATGGATATAGTATTCAATTATTATCAAATTCATTTATGTGTAAATCAATAATTTTTCTTATTTATGCGTCAACAGATATATCAAATTATCTTCTCACATTAGCTGCTATGGATCGTTGTATTCTTCTTTCAAATTCAACAATACGTTATCGTTTTTGTCGAAAATTAACAGCTAAATTAATGATAATATTTGTTGTTATTTTATTTAGTCTTATGAATAGTCATTTTTTATTTGGTTTTCGTATTGATAGTGAAGGTTATTGTTTACCAGCATCTAAAAATTATATTTATTTTTATGTTCATCATTATGATTCATATATAGATATAATTAAAACAGTTCTTATACCATTTATAATTATATTTATTTGTAATACATTCATTATATTTAAATATACACGAAGAAATACATTAATATCAAATTCTTCGATAAGACGAAAAAATCGTCGTCGTAGAGAAAAAGATCGTCAATTAACGTGGTTTTTATTATCAACATCACTATTATTCATATTTTTATCATTACCATCAGAAATCAATGATTTTGTTCGTACACATTTAAGTCAAAATTTTCAAAAAAAGTATATTTGTCAATTATGGGCTAGTACAACATTATTTATTCTTATACATCAAATAAATCATGCCTCACATTTTTATGTTTATACATTAACAGGACCAATATTTCGAAAAGAATTTCAAAAATTAATATGTTTTTTTCAAAAAGAAACATCTAAAAGAAATTTATTTCATTCTTCAAAAAGACAATCATTAGCAACACATTATATACAACATAATGGTATTGATGATCGACGATTAAGTAATACATTGAAACAAACGAACTTGATTTCATTAAAACATTTAAATTTTCAATTAGATGTTTAAAATAAAAATAAAACAAATTAAACAAAAATAAAAATAAAAACAATTTTTAATCTATTTTATAAATAATATTATAAGATGATTGACATCGTCCAAAGGCCACTTAGAAGAGAATGAACATTTTCAAGTTATTTTCATACAAGTTCGATTCCCTTCGAGAGTGGTTATTGAAACGATGATGTGTTCAGAGACAAAAAAAAAGCATGATACTACTCTTAACCTGTACAATTATTCAAATGATTCGTATGCTTTCTCACTTCTTTTTTCTTCTCTCTTCAACAAAATCATTCAAGCATAACCCATTGATAACGAGAACCAATGATCAATACACTATGAATATGACAAGCGCATATACACATCTATTTAAATACGAGCAAAAGACGATACATCTATCTCTCTCTTCCTCATATATGTGCATTCATCAAAATGATTTTATGGTTAAATGAAAAATAAATTATAGGATGACATTAGACAGACATAGAAAGGTATATAATGATACATATACATACACATAAAAAAAAAACGAACGACAAGTTGTCATCATTAACAACAATTGCTTTTATACAAGCTTTTCAAAATAAAACATTCATGTATTTTATTTATATTTCTTCGTTAGAAAACGAAATTCTTATCGATTATAATATATTGTTGAATGTTAGAATCAAGTAGTATAGATTTTGATTTTTTAAAGAAAAGAATGACATTGTCCAAGCTTTATGTAATATTAATAGACGTAATAATTGATGATTTGTTGAAAAATAATTTTATAGATTTATGAGAATATTATAAAAATATTCAAACAGAAAAACAAAAGGAAATATTTCTCTTGTATTTCAAATGGTTATTATTTGGTCAATAACTGATAGAATGAAAGTCAAATTTTCAATTCACGATTCATACACATAATTGTTCTTACCAACGTTTTTCTCTTATAGCTGAAGAATATAGTATTTACTCTATTGTTTCTAAATAGAACTTGAAAAATGTATACACAACAAATATTTTACAGTAACATAACATATTTTTTTATGATTATCACCACTTTTTCTTGTAAATATTTATTTGTAACAAAGAAATAGTATTGAAATGTTTTATATAAGTTCTTATTGTTGATGATTAAAATGTTGAAAGAATATCCTATGCAATAAGATATATATTTATAATGAATTATAATATAAAAAACTCATTGAACACACAAAAGATCTATCATTTTTTGTTATCAAAACAATAATATCAAATTGTGTTGTTTTTATGGATATGTTCTATGAATCTATTTCTTCTACTAGTGATCAACATGTAAGTCTAAGTAATAAAATCATTACAGATATAGTTTACTTATTTTCTATAGCATGATTTAGCGGGTATACGTTTAGTTCACATCAGATTATATTGTTTTGTGAACGATATGTTTATGTTTTTGAGCTTTGGTTTCATTTTTGATTATTTTATTATTCTTTATTTAATTTCTAGGTTTGCGATTGAAGTTGTCGTATGTGTGATCTTATGCTATCTTTATGGTACTTGCTTTCACCCGTTAACTCAAAATGATGTACTTCTTCTTTTATCTTTTCATTGAGCAGTTATGATATCCAGTATAATAAAGCTTGTAATTGAAACAAAAATAATTACTTTGACCATATGTTATAATCCAAATCTATGACAAATAAGTTCTAATAAATAAAGTCGACATATGAAAGGAATACATATTCAAACATATGTAAAGCTATCTACACTAATTTCAATGTTTTTCTTTCGACATTTTGCGTAATTAAACATATGCTTATGTCAATCATTAAATATACGTAGTTAACAGACAATCATAATGAAGCAATTACGTAGAAACTCAATTGTAAATATTTCTAATAAATTTCATTAGAAAATAATTATTTAACTTTACAAAAAAAGCCTTACAAATTGAATAATTGATATTTCTATTATTCCCCGTTTTTTTTTGAAAACCCTTATCTAAAAAAAAATAGATCTAAAACAATTTTTTTTTATAGTGCTATCTTTTTTTTCTTGTGTTAAAGTTCACTACAACAACAATTTAATAGTTTAACAAATTCATTATGAAGTGCTACAAGATTGTCTATTAATAATGGATTTATAGGATCATCTATTGTTTCAAAAAATGTCAGTATATCGTCAGATGTATTGAAATGTTCTATTGATCGATATGTATATGCTCGACGTACAAATGAAAGTACATCATTAGAAATTAGATAAGATGTTTCACCTATAAAATATCTAATCATTTGAAATGAATATTAATAGAATTTTTTCTTACGAAAATAGAATGATTGATTAAAATTGAATTGTTCTAATGTAAAAGATTTCATTTGTTTATCAATATGATATTTTAATATATAGACAATTGCTTCAATATAAGAACCAAATAATTTAGCAAAAAATTTCAATTGAAAATGATATTCATGATAATTAATCTTAAAATTTAAAGATTAATTAAATAAAAATTTTATTTTTCAATCAAGAATTCCTTTACCCGATAGGATAATTTTATTGTTTCTGAAATTTTATTTGATAAATCATTTATGATAATTTCATCGTCACCACCATCATCACTATCATTATCATGATCAACAAATTCATCATCCATTACATCATCATCATCATTATCATCATCACTCCATTCATGATCTGATAAAATAGTATCACGAAAGCGCATTGATTTTTGTGGAATATAAGTCTAATAAATACAATGAAACAATCATATCAATTAATATTAATGAAAACTTGTAGTTGTTACTATTGAAATATAATTTCTTGATTGACAATGTTGTATTATTTGTTGAATATTTTGATGAATATTTTGACATGAACGTATATTTAAATATTGTTTATTACCAAATGTAAATAGAAGAAATGCTATTTGATTAAATATCTCAAATTCAAATATACGTGGAAAATTTTCATTATGTTGAACTTTTGATAGTATTGATAATGCTTATTAAGAGTAAAATAACAAAAAAAAACAAACAATGAATTTTTAATATTTAATTACGAATTACATTACCTGCTAAAATATCCAGAAAATATTCTTTTCGTATTATTGAGATTAATTTTGATTTAGAATCATATGTATCTAATTTTAAATAATATTGTTCAATATGTTGACGAGTTATTTCATTCCACTTATGATCGTCCATTATAATAAATGGACATGTTTTAAGAATAGTTTGAAGAGTATTGTAAATAGTTTCTACTGTTGTTGACTGATATTAGAATAAAAGACATATTAAAAAAAAATGTATATTTCATTTAAAAATAAACAAACCAGATTGCTTGGTATTTGACATAATTCAATGGACGCGATTATATGTTGAAATTCAATTGTAGTTGAAACGAGTTGATTTGTATCTAAAAAGTATTATTGTTAATTTTCGTTTATTGAGTATTTAAAGTAAAATATAGTCAATTGAATATAGTAATGCGTGTAAATGAACATTTTACGAATTCCTACTTGATCAGAATAAAGATAGTCAGATTGAAAAGTTATAAATCGGAACCTTTATTTTATACCAGTTTCAGAAAGTGGTTCTTTGACTTTTAAGTACATATATTGTCTGTTTTCATCAAATATGTTTGGCTCTACCAGCCTTTTATGTAAAAAATTGTTAATATCAAAATTGATTTTTTTGCTTGGTCAATCTCACTTATACTCATATTCAAATCTTTGAATTCATCATTCACGGTTTAATCTGATTCATTTTAACACATTAGAGTGAGAAAAAATGAAAAAATTCGGAAATTTTCCTACCATTTCAAATGCTGTGGCGTCCATTATCAGTATGTTGTTATTCGCTATCACATTTCTACTCACACTTTCTTTTTAGTATTTCTTTAAGAGATTAGTATTTTTCTGGAGTTCAACTTCAGTCTACTAACAAATTGTTCATATTTGTATAATTATTTTAAAAACCTTTTTCCTTGATCTTTAATACATTTATAAGGTTCGTAGAAAAATAGATGATTATTCAATCATTTATGCTTTCGAAAAGAATAAATAACGATTACTTTTTTAAAATTTACGACTTTTGATTACATACCATATGCAAGATGTAGAAAGATACAATCAATAAATTTGTAAATAAGTTTTTGTTGTTCACTTTTGATTACTTCACAAAATCGTGTTTGAATATTCATTTTTTTAATAAAAAATTCAACTAATTCCTATTCAATATAAACATATAATAATATTCTCGTAATATAAAATTCATATTACTTTAAATAAAAATGGTTGATTAAATGATAAATATGATTTATGTAAACGAATTGGAATTAAAATCACATCTGGTATTGATAAATCTATAAATAAAATAATTTTTTTTTGGTCTAAAATCAATTAACATGAATAAAAACTACCAAATCGAATTAAATCACATAGAAAAGACATTAAATAATAATCACAAAATTTTGGTGTAAAAATAGTTGAATAATCAAAAATAAAAATGATCGGTCCATTTTGATGACAGGTTTTTAAACATCGATAAAGATACTAAAAGAAAGAAAAGAATAACAATATTTTTCTCAATAATATTCACTTACACAAAAGAGATTATTTTGATTTAGATTTAATGTAGATAAATCAATAAAACCAAGATAATTTGCCATTACTCGTTCAAATATTGAACATGTTTCAAATGAACAATTTGAAAAGATTTTTGTTGTTAATGGCCAATTAAATATTGTAATTAAATGACGAAATGTCCAAAATAATTGACGAAGATTATTATCTTCATGTATAAAACATATAAATATTGGTGAAATATTTTTCTCAAAAGGAGAAAAAAGAACTTAAAAGATAAAAATGAAAATTTATTGAAATACTTGAAATAGAAATCGAAGTGATTTCATTGGTTGACTATGAACTTCAATGGATAAAGAATAATTTTGAGCTTTTCGATATGTGTAATACATCTGAAATCTTAAAAAAAAATCTTTTTAATCAAAATTGTTTCCTATTGTCTATTACCTAGTAATCAATTCATGAATGAAATTAGGAATAAGAGATGTTAATATATGTTTTCTGATGATAATATTTTCATCAAGATTTGATAATAGTGAAATGGAAAACGTATCTTAAAAAACAAGACATCTAATTTCTATGAAAATAATTAATTTCATACCATCTTTATTTTGTTCACTAAAATACGACAAGAAGATTTTGATGCAAAGTATTTATTATCTTCACTTACAAATCAGATAATTGACCACGTTCATTACATTGTTTTAATAAAGTTTTGTTCCAATAATAAACTAAAGCTGATACTGATCGTCTATGTGGTATTACTTCGATATAAATTAATCATAGAGAAAATCATTTACCCTGACAAACGAAAATCGAAAAGACTTTTATTTCCTGATATATATGTGTCAAGCCATTTATATATCGTCTAAAAATTACGATAGATAGAGGTATACGTCTTCAAAAAAAGATTATATCTTACATAACTTTTTGGTGTACATGTTTGACAACAATGAACAAACCTAGATAAACGTTGAGCATATTGATGAAGATCTTGTTCAACCATATCATTTTTATATATATTTACCAAACGATTGATACGCTAGTGATAGTTAAAATTACATTAGAATTCATTCAAAATAATCGAATAATCACTTCAGTTGAAATATTACTATCTGTAGGTTGAATAGTCTGTGATTCATTGTATAATTGTCGCCAATTAATCATTTTCATCTTTAAAAGATATCGAAAAAAATCAACGATCAAGATTTACGTCATTTCTAGTTTTCTCTGAACATATCGTTGACTCATTTAGAAAGTATGAGTGTTGACTTATGATCTAGTGATCCTAAGGAAAAATGTACTTTGATATATGTACTACTTTCGTTCGATAAGTGTTCTCTAGAAAATCCGTTAATTTTTTCTATTCATTAATCTGAAGTTCATTGTGGATTGAATTCAATTTTTTCTGAGAAAAGCACGAAATCACAGAAATTCGTAATACCATTTATAAAGTTCTCTTCCACTTTCTCAGAAAAGATTAATTTAAAGTCAAGACGAAATTCAGATCAATAAGTAGAAAAAAACAAGAGAAGTTTCTGGGAAAAATCTATCATATGAAATTGCTGTATTTGTCGAAATGCATTTTCCTAAGAACCACCAGACATTGGATCATATCATTAATATGTGAAAATATGAAAATAAAGTCTCATTCTTTGTATTCATTATCTTAACATTGAATTTGTAGGTAGCTAGAAATCTGAGATTTCTTCTAGTTTGAAATATGTTTGTTGAGAAAGTTTTGTATGAAGAAATCGTATAAAGACTTCAGTGACAGTTAAAGCATTTCTTTGTTACATGTCATAATGATAAAGAAAAGTTCATTTTAGATTTTTTTGTTAATTTTAAAAACATTTCAACCGTTTCTATCTCACATAATGATTCATCTCGGCTTTGAATTGTGAAGTAGTAAACCAATCAGAGTTGGTGGTGATTAGTTTAGAGGCCAGTATGATCGATGTTGTTGTGCCTTCTCAAAAAGCCACGCTGGTTTGTATTTTATTTAGTGACACAATGAGACATAATCGAGTGATTGTGTTGCACCAAAACTTCTTTTAAAGGGGATAGACTTGCGATAGGATAGAGGTGTCGCTGGAAATGACGAAGTTCTTCTCTACGAAAAACTTATGAGACTCTACGACACCTTTTTTGTAGACTACTTAGTTTAATTTCACGAAGCTGTGCTCAAACAGGAACAGCTTGCTCAGAAGAGAAAACTGTCTAAGTCTCATCTAAAACTTGAATAGAATAAAAGTTTTGATCAAAACTGATGAATCCTTACCCTAGTTGAACATCTGGTAAGCAAGATCTTGGCCAAGATACAAGGTACAGAAATGTTAACAGATCTTGAAAATCTAGGTACAAGATAATCATATTATCTTGTAACAAGATCTTGAATCAGATCTTGGGTACAGATACGTAAGATCTTAGGTACAGATATGTAAGATCTTGGGTACA